TGAACCGCTATTCTTCCTACTGCAAGGAAACGAGCCAAGAGGCGGCCGATGCACTGATGATGATGTAAATCAGGTAAGCATATAGCCTAAAAAAAAAAAAAAAATTAATACAAATTCCTTCTGGGCATCAATGAGAGCATCACACACTTCCTGAATGATGGCAGTTATTAACTGTTTTGACAAATTGAAGGTATACATCAGGCTTGTAAATGAGTCCCCACTGGCAAGATACCTTAATGTTACTGCCAGGCATATTTTGGCAAGGAATTGAGGTTCAATAGTGTGTACGGGTATTTTGCTTTGTGATTTTGGGACCAACCATTTTCAGTATTACTTCAAAATCTGAAGCTGTTATTTTTAAAAAGTTTCTAAATCCAGCTGCACCTTCTAGTTTCAGGTCTGTCATTAGTTTTTCTTCATATGTTGTTCCTTCATCAAAAATTTCTTCATCCACTAGGTCTTTTCTTGCTCTCCACCTTCTTTCCTCTAAGGAAATAACACAGGCACCCGCCACAGTGGCTACTTCTGCATCCACCAACATGACGACTTCGACTGCTTTGCCCACAAATTCATCGCTCTAGCTTGGTCTGGACGTACAACAAAGTTTCTGGACTGTTTCGTAACTGTTGCGAAACAATCGCAAGACAGTCCAGCAACAAAGTTTACCAATTGTTTCTGGACTGTTTTGCAACAGTCGCTAGACAGTCCAGAAACAATGTCGCCATGTCTCCCAAGTGTTTCTGGATTGTCTCGCAACAGTCCAGAAACATTGTTGCATGACTGTTTCTAGACAATGTATCTTGGTGTGTACGAGGCTTTATGAACCTTTAGCTTTGACAATTTATTTCTTATACCCTCTTCTGAGAACACAATGTGGGTCAAGTGCTGTGTCAAACTCTCTCTCTTCAAATGCAGGGAAATTGTTTGCATCCTCTCTTGTAAACACCAAGGAAGAGAATTTGTTCAATGTCAACCCCCTTGTCCAGGCAGAATCTACATAAGTGCCATCATCAAGGCTCAGATCCGATACACCTAGTCACATTTTAAATTTCGAATTTGCGTAGTGGTAAAAAGCCTTTGGGCTCGACTTGATCTCGCTTGCAATTTGCCTCTGGAATTATTTTTCAACCCTTCTACACGCTGACTTTCCTTGATTTCTGAATCTGGCATACATCTTCCTGTCCTGCTCATCATTTGTCCTAACCCACATCTCAAAATTCTGGGTTTTCTTCCTAACTTTGTTAACTGCCACATGTTTCATGTGTTAGTCTCTCCTTGTATTCCTGGAGGCACTGGATGTGGTCTTGGGTATATATTTATCGATCAAATGGTTCACTTTACTGGCTATGATATTCAGCGTAGTGTCTGCATTCTTATACCTTAGTGAGTCAGGTCAGTGAATATCCCTCATGTCCTCCAGTGTCTCTTTGTAATTGCCCCTGTAATATTAGAACCTTGGTCTGCTTTTGTCATGAACCAAGTAACAGTTAAATCTGGAGGTCAATGTTACATGGTGACTGGTGCCAACAGGGGCTAGGTGTTCCATCATGGCAACCATACCCTCCACCTTAGTTATAATGAGGTCCAGCGGTTTGGATGTTTGCTCCCCACTGTAGTGAATAATATTTAATAAATTGAAATAAAAATTGTCTCTCAGTTTCTACAAAAAGATTACCAGGTAACAGGATTTTTAAGGTCATTTGATTCATTTTTCCAGTCAATATCGCCATAGTTGAAGTCCCCATGACAAGGTGGTGGATAGGGTTGAGCTCCGTTGCATTGTCAATTAAGGTTCTCAAGTTCCTTTGTTTTAATAAGCTACAGTTTGGGGATCTGTAGATACACCTGACAATGAGTAAGTCTCTCCCCTTAAATTTTATACCACTTGGATTCTTCATAAACTTCCTCCCCTGCACCCTCACCTGGTTGGCTCTAAGGTCTTGCCTTGCATGGATAATCACACCCCACTTACAAGTTGCTTAAGAAAAGTTCATTAATGAGTCATATCCATCTATATTGAACTCGCATTCCTCCAGGTCGATTGTCCTGTTCTTGTACAACAGTTCTACAACACTTACTTTATCAGGTTGATGTATCTTGAGCAGTGTTTCAAACTCACTTCATTATCAAGAAGCATGTCAGCACTGTATTAGTGTAATGTCTCTGGTCTTGGTAGCGACTCCAGCCTCCCTCCATTCTCAGCAGCTGCCTCCTCCTGGGTGGGAGGTGTCTCGCTCTTTCCTGGTTCTGCACTAGTGCACTTGCCTCCACTACTTCTCCCTCGTTTATAACCCATCCACGTCTATCCCTGCTCCTCCTCGAATCCTCCCTCTTCTGCTTTAAGAACTTCAGTCATTTTTTTGTGCTGTTCCCTCTGCTTTATTGTGCAATATGGGTTCACTCCTTAATGTGATCCTGAAGGGGTGTGGATTGTTCTCCTGCCTTTGTCCTAGCCTCCTCACATCCTGAGGGAGGTTGACAGGTTCAGAGCATCTGCACATGTATTCTGAAACTCTATCTTATCACGTGTTTTCCTACTCTCAGCTTCCTTTAATTAGTTCTCAGGGACTCCAAACACTATTTTATTGTTCCTGTTGTTCCTCCTCTCCCATATCAGTAGGTCTAATAGTTGTCATCTCTTCAACACACTTCTGCAGAGTCCCTAGCCGTTAAAGGACCTGTTCGGATCCTGCAGTACTCTGTCACCTTCTGTGACTCTGCTAGAACCTGAGCATAGCTCTTCTTTACTCCTACCTCTATTCTATCGCTACTTCCCAGTCTTACTGAGGCTCTCTTTCCCAACTTGCTCTAGTTAGGCAACCAACAAGGAGCCAGCTTCCTTATGATCTGCAATAGCCTCATTTAATTTGGTTATGCAGTCAGTGCAATACCAGCAACAGCCTTAATGCTTTACTGCATTTTGCAATGTCCCAAACGCTGATACAGTCAGACCAACACAATCCATCCTAGACGTTGTCCCCTTGCAGTAACTGCATGTCAACAAATTCCTGGTGATGCTGGGGTCTTAACCTCTGATTCCCTATGCCTATGCATGTCCTGTCATAAACTGTCTTCTTCCTTTGACGTACTTACACCTGTGGGACATAAGGTGCTTGACAGCTGTTGTCGTTGGCAATCCTGAGGAATGAGGGAGATTAATGGGGGGGGGGGGGTGTCAAGAACCTGCAAGAATTTTCTAAGCCTTAAACTCAATTCACAATGTGATATAATTCTAACTATTGGCTTTAAAATAGTAATATGATAGTTGCCTTTGTTACTTGAAGACCGGGCTTAAGTCTTAAGGACTTTTGCATTCCTACATTGGCCTCAGTGGCTTGGCTGATGCCACCCTCTGTAATCTCTCACTTTATTCTGAGGCAGAATTAACCCCCTTGCTGGGATGACTTCCTTTATAATCACACCTACAATTGTGATCTAGGTAAACTAAGATATATGCCTGCTGATGCACTTGGGGCAGAATAATATTATATTTAAAAATTACTTAGGTGTCCTGCTGGTCTTGGCCTCGCTGGCACCCTCGTTCGTCCAATGTTGGTGTCCGAGACAGTTCAGCTTGTTTTGTTTTTTTCTGTTATTTACACCCCTGTACTTTTGTTTTCTTTCTTAGTTTTCCTCGACAGGTTGTTGGTATGTATCGCTATGTGCTATCACTATGTACACTTTATCTCCCTATGAATGGTGGATCATATGCACAATCTCAGTCCTTTAGAAAACACAGAAAAAACTTTCTTTGTGGCACCAATAATGTGTCTCCGTTACTCACAGGCACTCATGCTTGTTGCTTGCCCTAATTTTAATTTTTCCACTTCAATTTATTTTCAAGTTTCCAAAGCAGTCACTGTTATCACTATAAGCTGTCATCGGTGATTAGACAGAACTACACTCTCTGTTTGGCCTTTGGACTATCAATCACAGCCATGAACATGGCTGTGATTGATAGTCTAAATTACATGTACATTATTTTCTAGATTTTGTGAATTTTGTCAACATTTAGCTTTCTTTTATCTCAAATGTTTACTTACATATGGAAGTGAATTTCAGAATACCAATATGCATGCGGAAATGTGTAAATTCGGGCTAATTCAGCAAGTTCCTTATTTCAGCAAAGTTACAGCCTATAGCGTGCTGAATTATTGCGAGTTTAGTGGAGGCAGTACTCAATATACATTAACAAAATGTCCTCTAAACAGAATGCCCTGCTGAGTATAGTGTCTTCCCATGACTGTCATCTCCTGAACAAAGACATACCTGGTAGGTGTCACCTTAAGAACGTAATATCCTTTCTTGAACAAACATAGTACAGTATCCTATAATGAACAGCATATCCTCTCATTAACAATACATATCACCTCCAGAATGGTAACATATTGTGAACAAAGATAATGTTCTCATTAACAATACATAGCCCATTACAGTACTGTATATATTTCTAATTCATTATTATTACCAATAAGCAGCAAAAATTTATAGATACAGAATTAAAAAACTTGTACAGTAATTGATGATTGATTGCTGATGAGGGATTGACTAATTACAAAAACAATCATGGGAACAGTGACAAAGCTAAAGCACTAGAAGGTGAGTAGACCCATGATTGAAAATACAAAATGCAATTTGTCATACAGTATTGTCCAAAAAAGGTATGTATACACAAAGTGGAAAAGTATATTGTAGTGTAGTATTACAATGTGCCCCTGAAATTCATACATTGGCAAATGAACATAAAATACAGTTGAAAGTATTTTATTTGCAACAACTATGAATGGTCCTTTCAAATGATTCAAAAACTTCTTTTCTACATACCTCTACTTGTAAAACATTTGTAGGAAAAAACATATATTCCCAGAGATAGTGGTTCAGTTGCTTAAATAAGCTTGGATGTTATGAGTGTTCTACTTTACACTGAAATGTTTCAAAATATCAAAGTTGGAATGTAAGCGGTGTATGAATTAGGGTAACAGCAGAGGGAAACGCATAAATATAGCTCAACAGAGATTTATTGTTGTGAGCAGTGAAGGCTCCTGGGGTTCTCAGGTAAGTCTGGGTCTTACCTGGCCTCACCTGCTGCACTCAATGATATATTTCACCAGAAATACCATTGAGTAAGTTAAAATAAACCCTAATGTACCTAGGAAGGCATTTAACGATATGTTCCCAACCCTAAAAAGCATCCCAACTCTAGCAATACTTCAGCACAGAAGTAAGCTGAATTTATTTTGTCTAATAACAATAGAATAAAAAGAACAATTATCTGGCAAAATAAGTACCTGGAAAATGATAAAAGACTTTGGTAGTGTCACTTGTGTTGGATATTAAAGCTTGAGTTAGTCCTGCACCAGCATACCTGGTGGGTAGGATACTTACCAGTTAAAGGTATTTTCAATAAGACGTAACACTCCCAGATCATGGCATAAAATGCCCGTCTTATTCTAAAAATACCTGAGGCAGGTGAGTTACCCTAGCTAGCTGCATGAGCCCATGGGCTCGCTATCACAGGTGCCTGCATACGGCACCATCTAACTATCACACTGTGGTCATAACCACACTCTCAAGAATAATTAAAAATATACAAAACTATATACATGCTGTACACATCACTTCTTGTCCTTTACATTATCAGGACTATCAGGGAAGAACACTTTGGTGATCACAATGTCGCCGGTACTGAGAGTCTGGCACTGAGCATCAGCTTTACTGGTGAAGGCTGACATAGAGGGCACATTGTTTAGAGAGTGAGGTGGGGAGGTCTGGGGGGATATGGTTAACCCTTGTGAGTAACCATGACAATGGCAGCAACATTGAGCTGGAGGACTGTTAGTGGTTATGGCCACAGGAGAGGAGGTACCGGAAACCTGGGTAGCTGCTGCTAAGATTGCTTCCAATCGGTCAATCTTCTCCATGCGATCCATTGCACCATTGCTTAAAACCTGATCCACCATGTTCATGCTGGTGGTAAGTGATGGTGAACCACCATAGCCATCACCGTCCCCTTCACCATCACAACGTGGGGAAAGTAGTCCACCTCCTGAGCCTCCAGATCCTCCAGATCCTACACTGCTCAAACTAGGGTATTCCCCTTCCTCTACACCATCACGTTCATCATCATCATCATCTTCACTATTGTCATCCTCCTCCTCTCCATTTTTTTCAGGAGATTCATCCCTGAAAATATACAACTTCTTTACATATTTTTAATTACCAGCTTTAAAATATACGACTAGTTCATAAACATAAAGCAATAAATTTATATTAATTTGTTTACAATGTTTAACATTAAAAAGTAAAATTTTTGACTCAACAGAAGCCCAAGAGCACTGACATAGCTGTTAAACAGATATACAAGCCGTATGCTCCAACACTTTCAAATGGGTAAACATGTTTACATTTTCTCAATCACTAGTCGCCCTATGTTGTTACAAACCACCTCCAAGTCCTGGTAAAATGTACAGGTGTTCTACCCACTCCAACCCCAGGCCTCAGTGGATGCAGATTTTTTTAAAAGATGTTAGTGGTGTGTGCCAACCCCCTACTCATTTGTAGAAAACATCCATCATTCCTTAAACTTTTCATTGTGCAAATCAAGTGTAGTCGATTTTAAAAGCAATGTGCTACACCACTAAAATTAACTGTAGTCCATGGGATAAATTTTTTTTATTCCCTGCTTAAATTGACCATGTTCCAAGATTTTGAATACACCACCAGCTCTGCACTGTACTGTCATCTTTCGGCAAAAGCCTCAATCACAACACAAAACAGGCAGAGTCACTGACGATGCCTGAGCCGAGCTATTGCCGACTGTCATATGAGATTTTTTATTGACTATCATCCAAATAAATATGGTAAGTTTTTCTTCTATTATATGGGGATAAGTAGTGTAAGTGTGTCAAGTCTGAAAATATATATAAAAGAAGGAGTACTGTTGATCTACTGCTGTTTTTGGCTTCCCATTTTGTGGTGGCGTGACTGTGGGAGAACAAATACTGTATTTTGTAGTAACTTAGGCATATTTATACTGACTAATTACTGGTATTTTTTTGTTATTTGCTATTGCTATGTGTCTTTACTAATTTTATCTCCCTTTACAGAGCCATGAGTGTAAGACAGAAGATGATTGTTGGGAAGACTCATGCCACTTCCTTGCAAGGAAGTTTATAAAAAAAAATTTTATGGTTTACACAAAGTAAGTGAACATTTGCAAGTTTAATATGTTTACTGAAATGCAGTAAATGTGTTTATACTGTCTGTTTTGTTTGGTTACACCCAAATTGATTCCAGGTGAGGTACCAATATTGGGCCTCAAAACCTGGTTATAATTTACAGGAAAAATGAATCTACAGTAATAAATAATTTGGTTGTAGGGCATGATCCATGCCTCTGGAGGCAATTTTGACAACATCTGATTTCCCCAGACCACTTTTACCTGCAGAATACCCGAGTTAGTTTTTTTTTCAATATTTTTCATAAAACAAACAAACATGAATTTCCACGAGATAGCCATATTTCAAAGGAATTTTCATGCCAGATATGGAAACTTCATGTTACATGTACTGTATTCTCATAATACAGTACATGTATAAAAATAATAATAAAGCTCAAATTAGCACTTCTATATTTTGGTGACTTAATGACACTTGTTGGGAATAATTAGGACATCAGATGACATGGTGAAAGGGTTAATTCACGATTGTGAAGCCACATTAACTTTTTTATAAAAATTTACAACCCAAGGTACAGGTAGGTGTGAAACACTGAACATCTGCTCCTCAAAATTTCAATATTTAGTTGTTTAAAAACATATGCAGTGTTACGTGCCAACCTCTGAAGGTCAAGACTGCCGATGGAAAAGAATAAAGTTGCTCAGCTCTAAGGTGTTACAAACTGCTGTAAATTATGCAGTGTAAAGTAGCTTGTACTATACTACATGTGAATGTTTTTCAGCCTTTAAAAACCTTTAATTTTGTTTAAAAAGTCACATTTTTTTAAGGTTCATACCTATTTTTGATAGTCAGGAACCTTTCTTCTTTTTTTCCATAATAAGTTAGTGTTAATACAGTTCATTTCATTAATATTCAAGACATTTTCAAACTAAATCTTAAACATGAATGAGGGATTATTGATAAGTACAAAATACCGTTCACCTAAACAATACTGATGAACCATAACTCTGTTTTTGGTCTTTGTATAAAACCCAGGTCTTATGGTTATAAATTCTGAACACTGAAAACTAATTTCTCTTGTTACATTCAGTGTACTGTATGCTAAAAATTATGAATACCAATTAAATTCAAAAAATTTCCTGAAATGAAACCACATCTTATTAATATGTTCAGCATGTCAGAAATTCAGTGATAATTAAAAAAAAATGCCTACTTTTTATCTTCACTGTACTTCTCTTTACATTTGAATGAAATGGATCAAGGAATGCAGAAACCACAAATAATGAGAGAAATGGTATGAGAAGTATTAGAAGCACCATTAATGAGATGAAAAAAAAAAATCACTCTACACTTACTTTCTTGTAGCTTCAACTCGCCTTTCATATCAAAGGGGACGTCAAGAATAAGCCTTGTATACCATACTGTAGTTACATAAAATGAAGAGATAGAAATATGTAACACATTCTTCATCAAATGGATTACAAATTTCTGCTTGTTTCAGTTCTTTCCTATTTCTTTGTACACTTGTTCTGTACCACTTTCTCTTACTGTTTCCCCACTATATGTAACTATGTTGAGTGGATTATGGGGATAAAACAGCAGTAAAAGTGAATGGATGGGAGCAAATAAAAAAAGGGGCTGTAGTTACATAGCAGGAAGCCTGGAAAAGTGGGAGAACAATAAAGACTAATAATACTAAAAAAATTACAAAATGGATCAGCTCTACTCCCTTCCTCCAAAGTGCTGGTGTAAGAAGTGAAGACAATAGTGAGCTAGTAAATAAGAAGCACTTGAATGGAGAATGACAAGACGTTTAAATTGACATACCGTTCTCTTTTACTTTGAAGACGTTCCAACTTCTTAGCCACTTTGTAAGATCCTTCAAGTTTCTCTCGTTCTTCATCACTCAGTTCAAGATATCTGTAGGTTGAACACCATTAACTTCAATGATTAGTAATAAACATCAGTGACAGTAATTTTTCTTTTTTTTTTCTTTACAGGGATTAGCCCAACCGGGCCCCACAGTGGGGCCTTGGGGGCAAAAATGTGATGATGATGAAAATAAATAATAATATTGTAAATTCATAAAAACTAAAAAAAATAATAATAAAAACCAAAAAGAAATACAAAAACGAAAAAAAAAGAATCAAGAGTTAGAAACTATATATGTACTGCATGTTGTGATGTCAAAGTAAGAGAAACAATTGAAACCCTGCAATTGTGTATAAATGAGGCAGAAAGTCAGATCAGCAACCTGGGACTTGGTCACAAGTTTCGTGATGCTATATAGCAGCAGGGTCTACCATTAAACAACACATTATGCTTCCAATATCTTCCCAGGTGGTAGTACCTCCTTGTTTGATAGCTGCCTACTATCTCTGGTGTTTTAAGTTTAATTAATAATTCATTATCGGTCTCTACAGTACAGTGGTCCCTCGGTTAACGAACGCCTCGGTTAACAAAATTTCGGTTAACGAATTACCTTCCAAAATCCCATTGAAACAATGGTTTCGGTTAACGAAATTTTTGGTTAAGGAACGACCTTCTGGAACGAATTGTGTTCGTTAACCGAGGGACCACTGTACGGGTACTCCCCGACTTACGACCTACTCGACTTACGACCAGCCTCAGTCTTACCAAAATATGGTCAAATTACTTATTTTCGAGTCCCAAAGTCAGTACACAGACAAAATTTTCATATGTAATTCACTTTAAAATAGCTGGCAAGCTTAAAAGTGAGTGTTTTATGGTGCTGAGAAGAAAGAGAGACCCCCATTTTCGATTTTCTATGTGTTATTTAAGCATTTCCGACTTACGACCATTTCGACTTACGACCTGGATGTCGATCCCTAACCCCGTCGTAAGTCGGGGAGTACCTGTATTAACAAACTACTGTATATCCTGTTGTTCTTTTGCGACGCTAAGTTGTGTGAAGTCACAGAGATATTTGGAGTTTTATTGTGGAAAAGGGGGTACCACAGAAGAGCACATATGTTACAGTACAATAGTAAGAAGTGAATACAGAGGTTCCCTGACTTACAAACGCCCTCCGATACGAATGGGTTAAACTTGAAATTTATAGTACTGTACAGTATTTTATTTACCTGATGACTTATTTTTTACTTTCATTTCGGGTATTTTGTCATTCTATTTCTTCTTTTGTCTTAAATTAAGTAATTTTAGATGTAGATAAGGACTTAGGCTATGATATTGTGGGATTTTAAACATTATTCTGTAAGTATGGTATGCATATAGCATGTGTTCCAACTTACGTACAAATCCAACTTAAGAATGTCCTCAGGAACAGAACCCGTTCATAACCCAAGTACCCCCTGTAATGGAATGAAAGGATAGTCTGTTTTTTATCATGATTACAGCCACTTGTATTATAATGAAAAAAGGCTTGGGGGGAAAATAAAAAATCCTTTAATAGGGATACTGATTCTGAAATTCCAATTTAGAGCCAAGTTTGGACTGAATGACTCAAGTATAGTTACACAAGTCTATGAATTTTATATAATGAAAAAATTAGTTGACCTTTCCATCATAACAGTCTGGGAGGCTTAGGCTACCACTAATGGTTGAAAGCTAAAAGTCTGCCATTACATTAACTGTTATCGCCACGCACAAATTGTGCGCGCCGGCCACATGTTAAGTGAAGAAACTGTTTACAACTCAGAATAGCTTACTAAGCGAGATGGAGCTGGTAGCAGCTGTGTGACTGCCTGAGGGACAGTCTATAGCCGTCTACTGTAAAGGCAACATCTTGATTCTCGCCCACAACAATTTCCTGTAGGACATTATATTTGTTCTCATTGGTCTAACCCTAGACCCCAAAACGTGAGTGTGATTGTGAACTGTTGAATCCTCTGAGAACTTCTAAATAACTTTAATAAGTGTAATTATGTACTGTATATTGATCATATTATTCAAACTGTGTCCTGATGTACCAGCAGTTGTTATATGTGAATTGCATTCAACAGGTTTTGAATAAATTATACCCATCGCGTCAATGACAAGGGTCTTATTGTCCTGCACAAACCAAAATTACTCCTATGAACGATTACACTAACAAAGGCAAGTTTCAACCCTCCAATGACTTTGCAATTAAGCACCATTTCACAGGTCAAACCCTCAGTTCCAGCTCACCTCAGCAGCATCCACAAGGAAGAGGAAGGGAATCAAGAGTTGCCCGGGTGACTATAAAATGGGATTTCAGGTTCAATTTCATTTAAATCAATGTTACCTGTCTTGAATGAGTCAAGTATCTTATAAGCCAACAAGAAACAGGAGAAAGGAGGCACAAAATCCCCAAAGTACTAGGACAACATATACCTCAAAAGTTGGGTAACTCAGCAAAACTTTAAGTTGGAAAGGAACTAACCTTATATACTCCCTAAGGCCATGCAGTCCCGAAGACTAGTTTGCTCAGCTAGGTAAAATCCAATCAAGTTTTTGGTGATACTCATCCCCCTCTCTGATGGATTGAAGTGAAAGACACGCCACAGAGGAAAAGCAACAAAGGCTTAGTACCCTGGAGGTCATGTACCCACAGAAAGCAATTTAGGTTGAGTGAGACAAATAGCCATAATAATGATATTAGGTATACGGCATAAACCCTAGTAACTCAATACTTAGATCTGTAATTTAAAATCAAAGTTTGCTGGTTAAACTTATTTGTTAAATGCACATTTGAATAAACTGTCTATGCCAAAGTGCATAGTGAGAACCATTGTCCCATTTCAAAGTCTGAAAACTAATGCCCACAAGCCAAAAACTAGAAGTCAGGTTTGGCTGTCTGAGGCAAGCCCTTGACAAAGATGAGCATCAATCGATAAAAATCACTTCCTCTCAAAGCAGATATCAGTACCCTGGAGACAAGTTCCCAGAAGTGAAAGCTAGGAGGAAAGTACTTGAAGCCTTCATAGATGTCATTTCTAAATCCTCCATAACAAGGTTTCCTATGGAAGCCAGGAATTTCAAAACTGGTTTATAAACCAACTTACAGTAGTGGTCTTGAAAAATCAGAAAACACTCAGAGAGAGGTCAGATGTGAAAGCTTCTTTTAAACTCTCAGGCACCAAGCTATGGTAGGCATCCCCCCCGCCCCCCATGTGTGTGTGTTCGGAAAAAAACTCATCTTACATAAGAATTCATAGCAAGCCACAATAGGTACACAAAAAACAGCATTATTTGCTAACAATGAAAAAAAAATAGACAACTGAATCCTGTGATGTGTGGGAAGTATGAGGGATGAAGTGTGATTGGCTGGGATTATGAGTGAATAAAACAGTGATCCTCGGTTAACGAAATTTCGGTTAATGAATTACCTTCCATAAGAATATTCAATTCGGTAACGAAAAAAATTCGGTTAACGAATTCCTTAAAAAATTTTCCCAACATGTTTTCGCCTGCTCACCAGCTGTAGTATTAGTCCGGCAATACAGTAATCGGTTTTAAGGCTTAAATTTGTTACCATTTGAGTAAATATCAAGAAGGTTGTACTATTCAATAATTTTCCAAGTCTTATATTAAATTTTTTAGTCATTTTAACAATCATTTAACATAATTGAAGTACAGGGAACTAGCGTGCCAAACAGCCACTTGACTCACCCAGAATGGCGTCAGTTTGTGTCTCTGCTCAGTGGAGGAAGCATCTTGCTTGAGACTCTCTTGAACATAAACTAGTTTTACGTTTTTACAGTACAAAATCGTGCAAGAGTTGGAGAAAGGAATGAGACAAGTTGATTTGGCACGCCAGCATGGCGTGAACGAATCTACAATCCGGACGATCAAGAAGGATGCCTCCAAGATTAAAGAACACATGAGCATCACAAAGTCTGCAGGTGCTTCAATGGTGAAGTATTGTCAGAATAAGGTGCTGCTCAAGACTGAGAACTTACTGGTGAGCTACTTGATTCGTCAGGCAAGACGTAACATGGCTGTGGACACGCGGGCAGTGCAGGACTACGCTAGTGAACTGTACTCATCAGTGGCGTGCAAGATGGGAATTGCAGAGCCCAAACCCTTCACTGCTTCCTCTGGGTGGCTGCAAGAGTTTAAGAAACGGAACAAGATTACCAACATTAACATTGTTGGTGAAGGAGCCAGTGCTGACCGTGCTGCCGCCATGGGTTTTCCTCCATTCTTACGAGAAGTTATGGAGGAAGGACAGTACACCGACGACCAGGTGTTCAACATGGATGAATCCGGTCTGTTTTGGAAAAAATTACCTTCCAAGACCTTCGTTGTCAAGTCTGCCAGCAAGTGTCGGAGCCGGAAGTTGCAGAAGGAGCGCATCACCGTCCTGTTTACCACCAATGCCTCCGGTACCTGTAAGCTCAAGTTGTCGGTAATCCACACAGCCCGCAAGCCACACGCCTACAAGAACATGGACATGACCAAGCTAAATGTCCACTGGCTAACCTCACATAAGGCGTGGATGTTCACAGGTCTGTCCCTCTCCTGGTTTGAAGACCGTTTCGTTCCTGACGTGAAGAAATTCTGCGCGCAAAATAATGTGCCTTTCAACATTATGTTGCTGCTTGACAACGCACCAGGACACTCGCCCCTACTGTTGGATCGTCACCCCAGTGTAAAAGTGGTCTTTCTTCCTTCCTCCCAACACTACGTCGTTAATCCAGCCCATGGACCAGGAGTTCATATGCAACATGAAGGCTGCATTCTCCGCAAAGAAGTTTAAGCTCCTGAACGACTACACCAACACCAAGGATGAGTTGCGTAACCTTCTGAGTGGCACAGATAGCGAGAGCGACGACAAGGATCCAGAACAAGAGTTGGCAGAGCATGAAGTGCAAGTTAAACAGTTTTGGAAAATGTTTATGGTAAAGAAAGCTGTTGATTTCTTGGTGGAGGCATCTGTCTGTGGCAACGATTCGTCACATGTGGCGGCATGTGTT